TACAAGTAAAGAGGACTTAAACAAAAGTCTTTGAGATCTTCAGAAATCTTCTTGCCGTGACACACTTGTTGTACAGTCAGTCTGATAGATCCAGTTCTTACAATCAGTGTGTGCCTCAGATTTGACTGTCAACCCGTTGTGTGAAAACAACTTCTTCTAATTTGATCCATCCAAATATCAAACATCAAAAATATTCCCAATCCTGAGATTATATAAATCTCAAGCCCACAGACATTTATGTAGATGTGCATTTTTCTCTATAAAAAATGTAGTTTTACATCTGTTTCTACATATTTACTCCTATGACCTGTGTTAACCTCTAAAGATGATTTAGGTAATATTTCTGCAGTTATAACTGTGTAATATATAGAGTGAATTTTGGTTTTCTAAATTATATTTTTATTTCTTAGAGCGAAGAAAGAGGTCGATGATGTCATTGGGATGAAACGTGACATAAGCTATGACGACTTAGGAGAGCTGGTCTACCTGTCACAGGTACATGTGGTAAATTTAGTTATTCATTTATTTATTTTAATAACTCACCCAAAGTGTGCACTTCTCATTGTAACCTTCCTTCAGGTGTTAAAAGAGACTCTAAGAATTTACCCCCCAGCTCCGGGCACGTCTCGTGATGTTGCTGAAGACATGGTGATTGATGGTATCCACATACCCGGGGGATTTAGCGTTGTTGTGAGTCATTTTTTAAAATATGTTTGCAGGTCTAAATGATAACTACATACTAAAGACAACAAATATATGAAGCAAGATATATGGAGTTATGTAGCGAAGAAAAAAAGATAATTAACTCTAAATATGTTTTATAGAGTCCTTCAAGTCCCTTAACTTTGTTGACAGCACTGTAAACTCTTGGCCTTCTCTCAATGAGCTTCATGATGTAGGCACATGAAGTGGTTTCAATTCACAGGTCTGCCTTGTCAGGGTTCATTTGTGGTATTTCTCTCCGCCTCAATAGAGTTGGGATAATCAGTTGTGTTGTGCAGAAGTCAGGTTGGTACACAGCTGACAGCCCTGATCTGATTGGTTCTCGCCATAATATGAATTCTAAGTAAAGAAAAAATGACAGTCCTTCATTATTTTAAGAACTGAAAGTCAGTCTGGAAAATTGCTTAAACTTTGGGGACACATTCAAAGATCAGCAAGTGCTACGACGAGACTGACTCACATGAGAACGGCACCAGGAAAGGAAGACCAAGAGTCGCCTCTGCTGCTGAGGATAAACTCATCCATGTCACCAGCCTCAGAATTAGCAAGTTAACAGCAGCTCAGATTAGAGCTCAGATAGATGCACACAGAGTTCCAGTAGCAGACACATCTCTACATCAACTGTTCAGAGGAGACTGTGAATCAGGCCTTTATGGTCAAATAGCTGCTAAGAAACCAGGACTAAGGAAAAGCAACAAGCAGAAGAAATTTGTTTGGGCCAAGAAACACAACGAATGGACATCAGACCAGTGGAAATCTGTGCTTTGGTCTGATGAGTGCAAATTTGAGATCTTTGGTTCCACCTGCTGTGTCTTTGTGTGATGCACAAAATGTAACTGGATGGTCTCTACATGAATGGTTCCCACCATGAAGTATGGAGCAGGAGGTGTGATGGTGTGGGGGATTTATTCAGAATTGAAGGCACACTGAACCCCAAACACACCTCCAGGCTGTGTAAGGGCTGTTTGACCAAGAAGGAGAGTGATGGTGTGCTGCACCAGATGTCACCTGACCAATGGAGATGGTTTGGGATGAGATGGACCGCAGAGTGAAGGCAAGAGAGTCAACAAGTGCTCAGCATCTCTGGGAACTCCTTCAAGACTGTTGGAAAAACATTTCAGGCGATGACTTCAAGAAGCTCATCGAGAGAATGCAAAGGGTGGCTATTTGGAAGAATCTAAACTATAAACATTTTTTGAGTTATTTCACATTTTTTGTTTACTACATAATGCCATATGTGTTGATTCACAGTTTTGATGTGTTCAGTGAGAATCTGCAATGTAAATAGTCATGAAAAAAAAGAAAAAACCATAATAAAGAAAATAAGAAGATATGTCCAAGCCTTTGACTGGTAGCGTATGTATAAACAAAACTGTCACAAAGTTGCCAGAAAAACATAAAAAATGAGGTCTTATTCAAGCAAGAACAAATACATTTATGGTTAAAATGTGAAATATTTTCCTATTTAGTTCAGCTCCTATGTGAGCGGGAGACTGGACAAATTCTTCGAGGATCCACTAAAATTTGATCCAGACAGATTTCACCCAGATGCTCCCAAGTAAGAAAAACACTGTTTCACCATGCTGACTTTATTACGTTTCATGTTTGCACACACTTTATTATCTCAGACTAAATGAGTGAAACGGTTCACAGTAACTGAGGCTGTCTCTTATCTGTTCAACAAGGCCTTATTACTGCTACTACCCCTTTGCCCTCGGTCCTCGCTCGTGTCTGGGACAGAACTTTGCTCAGGTGAGGATGACAGCGTAAGTCAACATGAAGACCCACTCACCTATAAACACACTGACTCATCTCTGTGGGCGCTGTTGTGTTTTTTAGATGGAGGCTAAAGTGGTGATGGCCAAACTGCTCCAGAGGTTTGACTTCACTCTCGTCCCGGGACAGACCTTTGACATCCTGGATGCTGGCACACTCAGACCAAAGAGTGGAGTGTTGTGCACTTTGAGTCACAGGGATTACAAAAATAAAAGATCTTAAAGGACTTTACATAAAAAGAAATCATAGTGGTCTATAGGGTAAAACTGTGGTGATCTACTCCTACCTAAAAGCTGTGATTAAAAAAATAAATCGTTATAATAAAAACAGTATCAGATATGAATTACATGGTAAAGCGAAATGAAATGATGGTGATAATTTTTTTTTTTCATTACAATATAATTTAATTTTTTTGAAGGGGACAGCTGGGTTAAATACCATTTGCACTTGTTTGTTAATCATGCACAAACTCATTATATAGCGGTGTGTAGTGTCTTTTTTTTCATAACCACAAACCTCTTTGTGCCTACAAAACTAATATGTGTGTAAATGGAAATCATTTGGAAACAAGCGTGTTTTATATTTCTTTACCCGATTTGCTGTCTTAATGCCTTTACGGACAGTGTCCACATGGGGGCGCTGAGATCTTGCAGAGATCTCTGACTTTTAAAAAGCTGTTTAAATTCAATGTTCAGAAAAAGAACTCTCCCAGAAGTTGTCTCTGGTTTAAACACAGATGGTAATATTTTTTTAATCTTTAATCAAATATGCATGTAGCTAAAGCCTACTGTCATAGGTTAAAGTATTTTTGATTTTTAACTAAATGAATGTTTTGGGGCTTCATTTCAGTAAACCAGCCCAGCTTTTTAATGCTCAAGTATTGTCAACGAAATCACGGCTATTAAAAGTACACAATACATCTGTGCTTCATTTAACAATAAAGAATAAAAGTCGTGAGGCGTAGTCTGATTTTTCTTCTTTAATGAATCCAGTGTGTTTTTACGGCGAGCGCGTCCTCCTGTACCTTTAAGAAGGCCGAGCCTGAGCTCTGCGAGGCTGCGCCGCACTTTTTCATCTACCTGCTGCCCACTTCTCTCGCGCGTCTTGATTGGTCGTCTCGAGCTGAATCCTCTTGAATGATTTCAAACCCGAGTGTTTGGACAAGAGGGAGGAGAGAGGCGGGGGGTCCACTGATAATTCCGAGGCTGCTGGGTGGAAAGGATTGAGTCGTCAGTCCACTATCACACCGCCTCACTGAAGACGCTTTTATCCGAGGAGACGGTGAAACACGTCCAAGAGGACTTTTCTTATAGGTTGCGCGTTTTACTCGAACATTTGCTGTTTTGCGCGAAATTAGGTTGAATTCACCTAAACATAAAAGAAGAAGCTGGCGGATTTCACGTTTTCCATCATGTGAATGTTGTGATGTCCAGCAGAGACGGTGCACACTGTTACGGGTCGCTGTGTTTTTGCCGACAGGACTCGGTGATCGGAAATCCCTGATAATCGATTTTATATCGCTTGTTTGTTTCTGACCGACTGTGACCACCAACTGTTGTTCCTGTGAGTATTTTTTATTTATTTTACCAGATCAGTGGTGTCATTTCTTTAAAAGCTCGGGTTGTGGAAGCATCACAGTCATATTTGTGTTGTTTATTCTTTCAGTTTTATTATCGGCCTGTTGAAGATCAGGGCATTATCGATACTTTTCTGATGTTTTTTCTCCCCTTTTTGGACAATGTATTCATTTTTTAACACGATTCCGCAATTGAGGTTAGGTTAGTGAGTTTCTGAGAGTTAATTTTAAGCAGCTGCATAAACGAACTGAGACTCGCAGCCGCCACAGTCATGGCTAAAAATCCGTCCGAGGGGCCGAAGGATGACCTGAGCCAGCTGACGGACGACGAGCTGCTGCGGTGCAGCAAAGAGGAGCTGGTTAGGAAATTAAGGAGGGTTGACGGCGAGAAAATGAACTTGATGATCGAGCATGGCAACATGATGAAGGACATTAACCGGCGGCTGCAGGTGCACCTTCATGAAATCCGGAACCTGAAGGAGATCAACCAGAAGCTCCAAGATGACAACCACGAGCTCCGGGAACTCTGCTGCTTCCTGGACGACGACCGACAGAAGGGCAAGAAGCTGTCCCGGGAGTGGCAGCGTTTCGGCCGCTACACAGCCAGCGCCATGTGGAAGGAGGTGGGCACCTACATGATGAAGCTCAAGGAGCTGGAGGCCAACCAAGAGACTGTGCTGAGGGAGAACTCTGAACTGAAGGAGATCATCCTCATGCTGGATGAAGAGAGGAATGGGGCAGGGTCCCGGAGCTCCATAGATAGTCAGTCCAGCTTGACCAACCTGAACGGGGGCACCAGCACAGTCAGGGATGTTGGAGATGGGAGTAGCACGTCCAGCACAGGAAGTGCCGGTAGCCCCGATCACCACAATCACAACCACATGCACAAGCCCTCAGAGAACGGTAAGATGGGGACCACGATAAGAAGATCCATGGATGACCTATCAGCGCCACATCATCACAGAAGCATCCCCAATGGACTGAATGGTGAGTACATGCACTTGTAAACACACCTGGATGCCACAGTCATCATGCACGCCCCACATTATGGGGTTTCTGTAGGGAAGTAGAGCAGTCGTCAACTAATCGGAATCTAAAAGTTCCTAAATAAAAACTTTGGTCCAATTCTTTCTTAAAACCATAGGTGTCAAACTCTGGCCCGGGGGCCAAATTTGGCCCGCAGCCTAATTACATTTGGCCCGCGAAGCCATACCAAGTTATTATTAGAGCCGGCCTACTGGTATTATACAGCTAATATATATTGTATAGTATTAAGCTTTGCTTGTTCCATATTCAGTTTTTCAGCAAAACTTGTTTGAGTCCATAAGAAGAGATTCATTCTTAAATCTGGAGGAGATTTATTTTTCAATAAATATTAATGTTAGCCCGCGACCTTGTTCCAGTTTTGAATTTTGGCCCACTGTGTATTTGAGTTTGACACCCCTGCTTTAAACAATGGGGAATTGGCCCTTACACCTGTATTCCTGGGCTCTGCTGCTAATAGAGACACACTGTGTAGTTACTGCGCGTATGTGCTTGCTGTGGCCGCATATGCTGATCAGAACTGTTGGGATGGATTAACACCCATGGGGTCTTGGCTTAACCTCACTGTAAAGTCTTGATTGGGGTGATTATGAAACACACAGCGTCTCTTAAGTGGCCTTTTCAGCCCCCACGCCAACCTGTCATTTATGTCTGCACTGATTTAGGTCACTGCACTTGTGCTTCTCAGTGAAGGAGACTTATCTTAATAGCTTTCAAAAGGGGATCAAGCAGATTGATTTTTTTTTTTTTTCTCCTTGGGGTTGTTCACTGATTATCTTTGTTGTCTCTGGCTGTGGGAGAGGACTCATATCTGCTTAGGGCCCCCGTTTGAAATGCGTGGCTTGGGACCAGAAGTCAATGTCCCTGTTTTTAAGACCTAAATACATGACTGAAAGCTGCAAGTGGGGATGAAAAAGCCATGATGGAACAGGAGGACACTAAGCCTCGTTTAGCAAGCACACGGGCTCATAACCCACTGTGATCTGTTTTGTGAGAGGAATAAAGTCTGTTTCACGTGTGTGTGTGTGTTTGGGGGGGGTTGGACCTTATTTTACCCCGATTCACAAGGACAGGGCAACCGCAGCAGAATTTAGGCTCAAAGCAAGCAGCTTCAAATCAGATCACACCGGTCACATGTTATCCATTGGACATTCCTGGAATTGTGCGCTGAGAAAACCGTGAAGGTAACATAATATAAAAGAATGGTTGCATGCACGAGGGGCTCTTAATCCGTAAACACACACGCACGTATACTCGCACAACACACAACATTTTGGTCTGTGCTCTGCTGTTATTATGTAACATCCACATTGTGTCTGCGGCAGCTTAGCGCCTCTCTCAGCCTTTATGTGCGAGTGTGTGTGTGACATTGTGCGCCCCTGAGTCTCGGGCTCTGTGTGTTCATCACTGACAATGATGTACACATTTCTAACAATACGCTGGCATGGGAAAGGGCCGCCTCATTTGAGAGGTTTATTATCTCATTGTTAAAACCTATGCATTTGTAATGAGACTGACGCTGCGTCGTCCCAAACAACCCTGAGAATCGCAAATTATTCTTGTGCTGTAAACAGCGCGAGTCTGGTAAGTAACAGAACAGCTATTGACATTTCCTAACATGTCAGGAAAAAGCAAGGCTACTCTCATAGGAAGCTGTTATTTACACACGTTAGATTTACACAGAAGCGTGCCGGTCGAGCAGGTGTTTCATCGCTTCCACCCCGAGTAAATAATTCTTAAAACCTTGCTCGAATAGCAGCCTGGCTACCTGTTACATGCCAGAGCGAGGATGAGGGGAGGGTGAGTAGAACGGGCTTCTTCACCGGCACAGATTTAGTCAGTTGGCAGGTTGAAATCCGAGCGGAGTGGCCATCTTTGCGAGGTCAGATCTGGACGTGGTGTGAGGTCTGCAGAGTGGCTTTTTCTTTAATGCTGTCCAAATGCCAGTGGCTCCCCTGGGCATTTAGGAGACAAGCTCGAGGATTGCTGCACAAGTGCTAAATGAACAGCATCTGTCAGCTTGCCAGACACACACACACACACACACACACACACACACACACACACACACACACA